GCCATTCGATGGCTAGGGGGGGCGCCGCTGCTGGTAGGGCGGCTGCAGGTTGGACGGCTACATCTAGAGCCACTGCAGCCAGGATCTCTGGGGCACCTTCGATTTCGGGATCAGCAGCATCAGGGATGTCGTTTTGAGGGTCAGCTTCGGCGAGGGCGGCTGGTTCTTCCTTTGATATAGATGAGTCTGATGCCATGTATGGCGGCCGACCCATCTGGGAAGTAGTCCCCTCGCTGTCAGAAGAGACCCCTGCTGCTGATGGGATGGGTGAAGGTGTCTGTGGAAAAATCATGAAGATGTTTGTTGTTAAATATATTAAGGTTGATCATCCGAATCTTAAGTCTTGCTGATAAGGAACTTACTGGTTCTATAGGCACTGTTGGTAAAGATTGTTTCCTGGTCGGGGGCCTGGCCCGACCACTCCTCGGTACGGGAGGAGGGATTTGCCTCCGCGTCGGGTCCTCCGCCCGACTGCTCATTGGCAAATTGGTCTGGACCAAAGGCCCGATTGAATGGTCGGTTGGTGCTGGCGTCGGTTGCATGGTCGGTGTCACCAAGGTCGGTTCTGGGGAATGAAATGAGTGAAATCAAAGTTATGATATAGTGAATTGGTTCACGGTGTTAAGAAACATTACCAATTCGGGGTCGGGTCCTTGCTGACGTCCTAGTTATTCCAAGGTCTGCTAGTGTTTGCTGGTCGGTCTCCGAGGTCGGGGGTGTTTGCAGCTGGGAAGTTTTTCTTTTGCGCGTGGGACCCCCAGATCCGATTCCCGGGGCGGTTGTTTGTTTTTGGGTGCTAGTATGTATCGCCGCCCCTAGAACCAGTCCTTGGGAAGGGAGGAGTACGTTCAGCAACCGACCCTCATCAGGGGATATCAGGGACCATACAACCGACCACCATTCATTGAAAGTATCTACACTCTCAGGGTTGGAGCGGAAGGGAATATAAGAATTGGAAATTATATACGTGGTAAGCTGGGAGATATAAGAAGGGATTGAATTAGGAAGGACTCGTCGGTCGGGACTTTGAAAAATTATTTGGGGACACGCGACGGGTCCAGGGATACCTTGGCAACAGCCGAACTGACGCGCCATGAATTGAGGTTCATAGTTAAAAGTGTAAAAAGTTTTCTGCCCTTTTTTATCAAGTTTCTTGCTACTAAAAAGAGACCTGGGTTTGAGGGCGACGTCCCAGGCGAAAGGATAGGTGGGATGAGGACAAGGCTCAGGAGTCGGAAGCGGGTTTGGTACTGGAAAGGGCCAAAAATGGTCGGGAGCATAACCCGCATACTTTTTATACATAGAAAATCGAGAGTTACTGCGGGTATCTGTTAAAATGGCAGTTATTATTGGATCGGATGATTGGAGTTTATTGCGTCCTGAGCAGAGTCGGTTGAGGACTAATCCTAAATGTTTTTCAGATGTTGGCATAGTGGGCGGAGATCCTAAGTTAAACGCGTTGGGAAAGTAAAGACGGAACCAAAGTTCTAAAAACCAAAAAGGACCCGACGCGGCAGTGTCTAATTTCCTATTATCGTTATCTGTTAAACGAAGGCTAACCCGGGTGAGTCCTTCAAACAGATTGGCTAAAAATAGGGTACCAAGGGAGAAGAACCGACCTGACGCAATATGAATGGCCAGGTCGAGGTGAGAAGGAAGAACACTTTTGGAAGGAGAAACAATGATGTACCTACAAAGCCAGAACAGAATAAAGGCAGTATGCTCCCGGTCGGTTACAGGAGTCCCTGGAGCCCCTTGCTGGTCGGTTGCGAACTTTGTCCAACCCCATTCCTTCACACCTTGTAAAGACCATCCCGGATGGTCTTCTGATGGCTCCTGCCCATCTAGGGCTCCCATTACAGGGTCTTCACCCACGACTGGGAGATGTGCGATCATGGCCACGTCCATAAGGGTTGGGCCAAAGGGGGCCGAGGGCAAAAGGAAAGTCCCATTTTCCGCATTCCAGAAGGCGGACATGGCCAACAGCACCTTCTCATGCAGGTTGATAGGCATGGTAGACAGTAGTATTGCTTGGTCGATCTTTTGGGATCGCCATTGGGTCTGGAAGTGTTCTGCTACTCGTCGATACCAAGCACGATACAGATCTTTTGGGTCTGTGAGATGGGTCTTGATGCTGTCTCGGATGCGAACTGCTTGGTAGTTGGGATTGTTGATAGCCAAGGCGTTGCGAGATTCCAAAACTTCCCTCATCCGATTTGAATCTTCAGGAGTAGTGCAATATGGACGGATCGTCGGAGTTAGTACTTTCGAGGCTGAAAATGGACCTTCTGGAAGGGTTCCGTCGAAAGGAAGGGCAGGAATGTATTGATTCGCCATAGTTAGAATGTTTTGGGATTGTGATTCACACAGGCTTGTATTGCGAAGAAGGAATAAACCAGGAGTGTTGCAGTAACTGGTGTAGTTGCTAAGGGAGTTTCTCAAGAAGGTAGTGCTTTATGAACTTCCAAACATTTATTGGCGTTTGAAAGTCCCTTGGCGGCGGGCAAGTTGTTACGTACGAAATTTAGAATTAGGTTAAAAGCCCAAGGTAAAACGAGGAATGGGCCGGCTATAGGGTTGATTGAACTGGCTGAAGGACACCGTGAGGAAATCAAGGAAAATAAATTTATTTATTTATTGCTAAGAAAAATTCAGGACGGAAGGACCTCAGGTCGGTAGGTCCTCAAGATGAAAGACCTCAAGTCGGAAGGTCTTCAGGTCGGGAGATCCACAAGACGGAAAGACCTCAAGTCGGAAGGTCTTCAGGTCGGGAGATCCACAAGACGGAAAGACCTCAAGTCGGAAGGTCTTCAGGTCGGGAGATCCGCAAGACGGAAAGACCTCAAGTCGGAAGGTTTTCAGGTCGGGAGATCCACAAGACGGAAAGACCTCAAGTCGGAAGGTCTTCAGGTCGGGAGATCCACAAGACGGAAAGACCTCAAGTCGGAAGGTCTTCAGGTCGGGAGATCCACAAGACGGAAAGACTTCAAGTCGGAAGGTCTTCAGGTCGGGAGATCCGCAAGACGGAAAGACTTCAAGTCGGAAGGTCTTCAGGTCGGGAGGTCCGCAAAACGGAAAGTCGTCGAGATGGGATATCCGCAGGTCGGACAAGCGTGGAGGCCTTTGATCAAAGACAGGGGGCGGTTGATATGGAGGTCGGCCCAAGTGGGGTCGGGCGAAGAAGTAGGTCGGACGAAGGACGAAGTCGGGCCAAAAGAGCGGAAGGTCTGTGGTCGGCTCAAGGAGTGAAATATAGGGAATTTTGGTCTGCTGGGGACACGTGTCAGCATAAGAAAGGTTGGAAGACGGTTGAGAAGGAGACGTTGTAACCGTTCGGGTGACGGTTTTCAGTACGGCTTCCCAGGGAATATTTAAGGATTTGGATCATCATTTGGCAAGGGATCTTCAATCAACTTCAACAAAGCAAAGTCAGATTTGGGGATCACCACTTTAAATTTCAGTCTTTTATTTTCCAGTTTATTTTCTGTATCATACAGTGTTTAGAGATTCCTAATCTCAGGCACTAATTAATCAAGTTTAAGGATATTTTCTATATCTTTGAATTTTACTTTATTTTTGTTGAAAAATTACATCAACAGTTATTTTTACTTATGAATAAAATATTTTATATTTATTGTTATTAAAATTTTGAGGAATCGCAATTCAAAAATAATACGAATGATTAATATAATATATAAAATATTTTTTTATAACATATTATATAATTACATGTATAATATATAATTCTATATTGCACAATATATACTGATTTAGGGTACAATATATAACCCCTCCAAAATATATTTTTATATAATACAAAATATATTATATGTCGATCTGATGAAATTCTAATTACTTTACTTTAATACTTGGGGATACATACATGCCCTACTTTAAAATTTCTTTATAATTGACTGAAACAAACCGACGCTTTGATTGCATATGTTTTGAATTAAAATTTTGCATTATTTATCATAATTATTTTTCTAATAAAATAAGGTAAACTGTTTGTTTAGTCGCGTAACTGAACCCTCTTATCAGTAACGTAAGTAGAGCATGTCGCAAACTAGTAGTATAAGTGAAATTTTTTCGCTCTTTTAATCCTGCGGCGCCGGAGACGCCCGCGTGGCTCGCCGGATGCCACGTGTCCACCAGGTCAGCAGACACGTGGATTTTATTTTTTTTATTTTTTATTATTTTTTATTTTTTTAAAATTTATTTTTAATTTTATTTGTAATTTTTTAATTTTTTTATTTGGTCCAATTGAAAAATAATAATAATAATAAAATAAAATTCACGTGTCCGCCGGGTGTCGCTGACCTGGCGGACACGTGAATTCCGACGAGCCATGCGGGCGTCTCTGGCGTAGGAAGACTAAAACAACGAAAATTTTCCACTTATAACTAAAATAATAAGGGAGTGACTAAAAAAATAGTTCATCCAAAAAATATATTATTCAATTATTATTTAAAATATTATATCAATTATTATTATTTTTTTTTATAAAAAATAATACATCAAATATTTATTTTTTGATCAAATTTTAAGCATTTTTCAAAAACTCTTTAAAATTTAAAAATATATTTTCAAAACCTACCTAAAACCACATATATATATTCAGTACCAAGTCAATATTATTAAACTCCTCCATCGTCTAACAGTAAACTTATTTTTTTATTTAGGACATCATAAACACTATTTTTTCCTCAAACTTATTTTTAATTGTAAAAATTTTATTGTTATTATTATATATTATTAAATAAAAACTAAACTTCTATACCTTTTCTATTTATTTTTATCAATGCTTTAATAATTTTTTGGTAACATCCCATTTTTAACTATCCAAAATTTAAATTTAAAAAAAAAAAAAAAAAAAAAAAAACTATCCATATATTTACCTGACTGTGGGGAGGGGTAATTTTAATTTGTCTAGTTTTGTTTGAACATTTATAAGCTCTTCACCGCAAAGAATACATTCAATCCATTAAACAAAAAAAAAAGAAAAATGGCTAAAGAAGTCATCCTCATGCTATTCCTTAACCTCCTTGTTCTTGCAATTCTTTCATCTCTCCCGACATCCTCCGCCGCCCCGCGGTGGGAGATCGTGCAGCCGATGTGCTCCAATAACATCGTACAAAACGCCTCACTCTACGTCCCAAACTTCGTCGCCACCATGGAAAACATAAGCCTTCAGGTGCGAAAATCGGGCTTCGGGCTAGCCGTAACGGGCTCCGGGCCGCTTACGAACTACGGCTTAGCTCAATGCTACGGCGATCTCTCCCCGACCGATTGCGTCCTCTGCTACGCCGCCGCGCGCAGCGCTCTGCCTCAGTGCTTCCCGAGCCTCGGCGGGAGGATATACCTCGACGGCTGCTTCATGCGCGACGAGAATTACGATTTCTTTCAGGAGTACGCCGGTCCGAACGATCATGCGCTGTGCGAGAATCGGACAGTCGATGACTCAGCATTCCGGGACGCAGCACGACGGGCTCTGTCCCGAGCGGTTCTAAAGGCGCCTGGTAATGACGGATATGCGCGAGTGGAGACGAAAAAAATGACGGTCGCGTCTAGAAATGAGTCGGTTTATGTTTTGGCCAACTGTTGGAAGAATTTGAATGCGAGCGCTTGCAGTGCATGTTTGAGGAATGCGTTTGCATCGCTTTTGGGATGCCTGCCGCGGTCGGGAGGCAGGGCAGTTAACGTCGGGTGCTTTGTCAGATACTCGGACATTAATTTCCTTAATCCTGTCTTAGCAAAAGGCCGGGGTTCGAGAGCAAAAATTGTTACAGCTGTTGTTGTTAGTTCTGCCGCTGTTTTGATCATCGGAGCAGCCATCGGACTTTATGTCTGGAAACAATGTGCGATTCAAACTAAGCGTAGAGGTAAGTTTTTCTTCGTTTGGTAGAGTAAACTATCGAATCTACATAACAACGTTGATTCACGACATTTTTTTTTTTTTTTTCAGGTTCGGGTGATGTTGAGAAATTAGAGAAAGAACTAACAAAAAGCGGCCTGAACTTCAAGTACTCGGTCCTCGAAATGGCAACCTCATCCTTCGACGGCTCCAACAAGCTCGGACAAGGTGAATTTGGCACCATGTATAAGGTAGCTCCTCGAAAAGTTTGTCTATGTGTATATATATATATATATGTGGCGGCGGTTACAATACTGAACAGCACACAGATAGTTAGCAAATAATATGTGACAGCATATCACTTATATTTATGTACAAACATAACACATGAACTAACAACATATAATGTAGTCTCACATAACACATGCAACAGTTCATTTTAGTACATAACATACACTTGTACAGCATACGTGTGATTATAAACAAATAAGACATGTCATTATTATAAACAGCACGCGTTGTTTTTAATAAAGACTCTGTTTTGTATTTTATGGATGTTGAAAAATCAACACCGTACTGATTTTTCTAAATCAGCACCTAACATTCTCCATATAAAATCAACACCGTACTGATTTTTCTAAATCAGCACCTAACATTCTCCATATATATATATATATCTAAATTCAGGTTATTGCTACTGTAGTGATTAATTTGTCAGCACAACAGATGAACTAATAACATAAACAGTGATTCACAGGCCATATCTCAATATAGACTAACAATTCATACTATGTGTATGTGTGTTGTCTAATAATTTTCCCAAAATTGGGTATGCCAAAGGGACTATTGCAAGATGGTCGAGACATAGCCGTCAAGAGGCTATTCTTCAACAACAAACACAGGGCTAAAGATTTCTACAAAGAAGTTAAAATCGTCAGCGGTGTCGAGCACAAAAATCTCATCCGCCTGTTGGGCTGCAGCTGCTCGGGACCTGAAACGTTGTTAGTTTACGAGTTTCTGCCGAACAAGAGCCTCGATTGCTATATATTCGGTACGTACGCCGTAGATTTTCAGTATTATGTTTGATCTTCGGACACTAAACTAAGTTTTTTCGACAAAACAGATGCTATCAAAGGGAAGGCTTTGAATTGGGGAAAAAGATTCGAAATAATAATAGGGACAGCAGAAGGACTGGTGTACCTGCACGAGAACACCAAAGCTCAAATCATTCACCGCAATGTAAAGGCGAGTAATATCCTCCTGGACTCACGATTTCGCCCAAAAATAGCCGATTTTGGGCTGGTAAGATCGGATAAAAGCCACATCATCACAGTCATTGCCGGAACATTGTAAGTTTATAAAATTCCCATTTCATGAAGTTTATAGACAAGACTAGTGATCGAACACATAAGTGCAGACAAGGTCGCTATAACTTATGATCGATCTTGTTGATTTGCAGAGGGTACATGGCACCTGAATACTTTGCCCACGGCCAGTTGACAGAAAAAGTCGACGTATACAGCTTTGGGGTTCTTGTGCTCGAAATTGTCTCCGGCAAGAAGAGTAGCCAGAGCAAAAACACAGAGTATGGAGACAGCTTGATAACAACTGTAAGAAGTTCTAATTTTATCACTTTGGTAATCATGGTACTGCGAAAATTCTTACACATGGCCGCCTGCAAATCAGGCATGGAAGCATTTCCAGCTGGGGACAATCGAAGAAATCATCGACCCGAACTTGACAGCGCATAACTACCGAAACATGAAAGTCGAAGATGAGATTCTTCGAGCTTTTCATGTGGGGCTGCTGTGCACACAAGAAATCTCTTCCCTACGGCCATCAATGTCGCGGGCGCTCCAGATGCTGGCGAATAAAGAAGTACAACTCCCGGCGCCGTCAAATCCGCCATTCTTGGATGAAAGCACAATGGAACTCCATGGCATTGCTCAAAATTACAAAGCATCACCAGACGAGCAAGGGAACATGGCTTCGAATCAATTACAACTTACATCTGATCTAAGGATCTGAATTCATTTTTATCACATGATTGGCTTCGAAAACATCGTAACAAATACTTATGCGATAATATATTTTTGTTACCTAGCCAGCTAGCTTTCAATTCATAACAAATGAGAAGGAAAATATGGAAAGACCATAAGATACCGTGTGTTTTTTCAAGATGTTGTTGGGTGTGTGTGTGAAAGACGAGAGAATACAAAGGAAAATGAAGAGTTTTGTATCCCATATGGGAATACAAACAAACTCACCTCACTATATTAACTTATAACTCCATTATGTACTAAATAAAAAAAATTGGATTGAATTTGGCCTCTATGGGTTGGGCTCAGGCCCATGCTTGAGAGATATCTATAATATATGTATATGTGAAAGATGGGCCTTAGGTCAAGCCCAATAAATTAAATCCAATTTTACAATTTTGAAATTTAATTTTGAATTTTGAATTTGAATGATAATTGACTAATTTAAGTCAATTATTGGATAAATGAAGTTTGTTAATACGTGCGTTAGTGGGGTGTAACAACCTTCCTCATCATAGTGAAAATTCACACCATCAACAAATCCTACATTAATTCTATAGATACTGACCTTTTTTTTAAGCGAAAAATTACTTTTTGGATTTTTTTTCTCTCGTAGGATTTCCAAAAACCAAAACGTTTTCTTTGCAATCAAAGTTTCCTTCGGAAAATCTCTCTGTTTCTTAATTCGGTTTGCGGAATTTGCAATTCCGTTCAATTCGTTCTATCATGGGAGGCGATCGGTGACAACCGAATTCGCTTCAAGGAAATCGCATCCCACGCGACGCTCGGATCTATCTGTATCTGAATCTGATATTCGAAATCGTATCAGATTTGGTGATTTGATTTTGTCGCCACATCTTGGATTCATCATCACTATTCTAACAATCTTGAAGCGAACTATTTGTTGGTGGAATTTGAGATGGCTGACGAAATTCCATTTATCCATGATCAAATCGCGGCTGCCCAGGTCGTACCTGAAGATAAAGTGATGATCTACGCGATGAACTATCCTGACAGAAATTTGAATGATCTGAATGATGACGTTCAGAATGGTGCTGATGGAGACGAGAATGAGGAGGTGAATTCCAGCAAGTCTCACACTCCCGCTCCTATTGTCCGTTATCTCAACCAACCCGCACAGTGAAGCCGCTGAAATCACTGCTGCCAGACATGAAGCGCGCAAGGCAGCCAGAAGGCTGCTGCGGAAAAGGCCGCGAAGGCAGCATACGAACAGGCCTTCACGGCCACGATGGAGGGGGCGCAGCTTGCTGCTGCGACCTCCAACCAGCCTGTTGCTAGACTTCAGAAACAGCATCCTGTTGATGCCCGGCTGAAACAGTCTGTTGTTGTTATGCCTCATCCACAGCGTATGGCTGTAGGACTTGCATAGGGCTCGTTATGTCTGCCGGATAAAAACTAGAAGATTGGGAGGGTATACAGCCTGTTGCTGTTACGGACCATGCAATGCAGCCTGTTGCTGCAACTTTCATGCAGCCTGTTGCTGCGGCAGCCGATAAGCCAGAAAAATTCAATGGGCAGAATTTTAAACCAGCATAAGATGTTGTTTTATCTGACCACGCTGAATATGGCAGATTGGCTGACGGATTATGTACCTGTTGTGCCTGAAGAATCCTCGGAAGAACAGAAAGCACAAGTTCTGAAGGTCTGGAACCGTTCAGACTTTATGTGCAAAAATTATGTACTGAACGGCCTGAGCGACTCCCTGTACGGTGTCTACTGGCATGCGTTAAAGGCTAAGCAGCTGTGAGAGACGCTTGAGAAAAAGTACATAACCGAGGATGCTGGTGCAAAGAAATTTATAGTCGGTCGGTTTTTGGATTTCAAAATAGTCGATGGAAAAAGCGTTACGAAACAGCTTGATGCGTTTCAGCTGATTTTGCATGAGATCCAGGCCGAAGGGATGGAGCTGAGTGAAGCTTTCCAGGTGTCGAAGATAATTGAAAATTACCACTTAGCTGGGGTGATTTCAAAATTTACTTGAAACACAAACGAAAGGAAATAGATATGACGAGACTGATTAATCGTCTCCAAACTGAAGAGGAGCATAGGTCAAACATAGCAAGCAGGGAACATCTGATACTCGGCAGCAAGGCCAATGTAGTCGAGCACAAAGGCCAAGGCTCTCATTTCAAGATAGCTCTGAGGAACAATCAACAGCCAGGAAAGAACTCGAAGCTAACGGACATGGGAAAAGAGAAGTTGAAGCCATCTGGCGGCGTTGAAAAGGCAAAGAGTACCTTCAAAGGTACCTGTTTTAATTGCGGAAAGGTCAGGCACCGTTCGATAGACTGCAAGGCGCTGAAAAGAAAGAAAGAGACAAATCAGGCACACGTCGTTACTAAAGATGAAGAGCCACTCGACCTGACATGTGTTGTCTCTGCGGTAAATCTGGTAGGATCAAACAAGAAACAATGGTGGCTCGACATGGGAGCAACTCGCTATATCTGCATGGACATGAATCAGTTCTCATAATTCAAGTGTATCGAAGGAGAAACGATGTACACGGGGAATGCTACTCCTGCAGAAGTCAAGGGAAGAGGAAAATGTGCTTCTGAAGATGACGTCTGGAAGAGTTGTGACGCTGACCAATGTCCTCTACGTGCCAGCGATGACGAAGAACCTGGTCTCAGGGACGCTCCTGATGAAACACGACTTTAATATTAATATGAATGGTGATAATTTTGTTTTGCGTAAATAAGGAGTGTATGTGGGAAAAGGATATGTAGATGATGGACTTTTGGAATGTTGTATTACGAAAGTTATTGAAAATATAATAATAAGTCTGTTTCTTATATTGTTGAGTCCTTTACTTTATGGCATAGTCGATTGGGTCATGTTAATTATGATTCAATTCATCGATTAATTAACCTGAACCACATTCCGAAATTCGAATTAAATAAACATAAATGTGAAATTTGTGTTGAAACAAAACAAACTGGATCTTCTTTCCAAATGATTCACCGTGAAACTGAACCACTCGAATTAATTCATAGTGACGTATGTGATTTAAAATTTGTACAAACACGAGGTGGTAATAAATACTTTATCACATTTATTGACGATTGTACAAAATACTATTATGTTTTCTTACTTAAGAGCAAAGACGAGACATTAAGTAAATTCGTTTTGTACAAAAATGAAGTGGAAAACCAACTTAAAAAACGAATTAAACGAATTCGAAGTGACAGAGTTGGAGAATATGAAACTCCGAATGGTGATTTTTGTGCACAAAATAGAATAATTCACAAAGTAACTCCACCTTACTCACCTCAATCAAACGGCGTTGCTGAATGCAAAAGTCGCACATTAAAAGAAATTATGAATGCGATGTTGTTAAGTTGTGGACTACCCCAAAACATGTGGGGGAGACAATTTTAAGCAGTAATTATCTGCTTAACTTAGTACCTCGGAAAATGATGGAGAAGACCCCTTATGAGCTTTGGAAAGGTCGAAAACCTTACAAACACCTTCCAGTGTTGGTGTGTCTAGCTAAGGTAGTTGTGCCACCTCCCAAACGTGTGAGAATTGGTCCTAAGACAGTGGACTGCATTTTCATAGGATATGCACATAACAGTACTGCCTATCGATTCTTGGTATTCGATTCAAAAATTTCGGGTATCCCAAAAAATACGATAATGGAATCAAAGAATGTATCATTCTTTGAAAATGTGTTCCCTGCAAAGGCAGATGTTGAACCTAGTTCAGTCAACCGAGAACACGAAACTGTGAACCAAGACCAAGATTGAATGGAAATGCTTGAATCTGAATCTGAACCAGGTCAGAAACCTGAGCTCAGAAGAAGCAAATGAGCACAAATTGAAAAGTCGTTTGGAAATGAATATTATACTTATCTCCTTGAAAACGAGCCTCAAACATATGTTGAGGGTATGAGGTCTGCTGAAGCTCCTCTCTGGAAAGAAGCTATAAAAAGTGAAATTGATTCTATTCTTCAGAATCACACTTGGGAACTTGTGGATCTCCCACCTGGTTCAAAAACTCTTGGATCAAAGTGGATATTCAAGAGAAAATTAAAACCAGACGGTACAATAGACAAATACAAGGCTAGACTTGTAATCAAAGGCTACAGGCAATGAGAAGACCTAGATTACTTTGATACATATTCTCCTATCACGAGAATAACATCCATTAGGATGATTCTTGCGATAGCTGCTCTGCGGAATCTTGAGGTGCATCAAATAGATGTAAAAACGGCTTTCTTAAATGGAGATCTTGATGAAGAGATCTACATGGAACAACCGAAAGGCCTTTCAATTTCAGAAAAGGAAAAAAAAGTCTGTAGACTTGTGAAATCAATGTACGGACTTAAACAAGCTCCAAAGAAGTGGCATGAGAAATTTGATCATACCATGATGGATAGTGGTTTCAGAATCAATGAATGTGACAAATGTATATAGGTAAAGACCACTGAGTCAGGTTACGTGATAATATGCCTTTACGTAGACGATATACTTATCGTTGGTAGCAACGAATATATTGTTAAGTCTACAAAAGACATGCTAAATTCTAGATTTGACATGAAGGACATAGGTCTTGCTGATGTGATCTTAGGAATTAAGATCAACAGAACTGCAAATTGTTTAACTTTGAGTCAAACTCATTATGTAGACAATCCTCGAAAAATTCAGTAAGGATGATACAGGAATAGCAAAAACTCCGCTGGACACAAGTATCCATTTATGAATTTAGTCAATTTAACAAACCATCCCAGCCGCACCAATATAAACCAATAGTTATAAAAATGATAGAAGTAATTGCAGGCCAAATTCCTATAAACATTAGAGCTGAATCTTCTTCTTTTCCGCAGTAGCAAGGATGACTTCATACATATAATTAATTATTTTCTATTTTAGAAATATTAAAGAGTACGCGGAATAGAGGAACTAAAATATATTAATAACAAATGCAGAAGGGATAAACTGATACCAATTTTGGAAATTAAAATACTTTGTTATGAGACGGACTAAAATAGAAAAATGTATACTTTGTTATGGAACGGAGGGAGTATTACTTTTTAAAGAATAAAACTGAATTAAATTTTATGTAATACAATTAAATA